TGCTTACAAACTTTTTCTCGGCATGGAGTTTATGCCGGATGAAAGCTGGTATATAATGATCAGAACTCGATACAGACTCATGCTCCCTTAATACACTAGCCTGCTCTTCAATGCTTTCAGGGCAAATTCAGTGTCTAGTTAAAAGAAGAACAGAGTATGCACGCTAACAGTCATTGATATTATGCACTCAGTCTGATACCTCCTTGCATTATGCACTACTGTTCATAAAAGATGTGTATCCCCTGAAGGTCTATCATTTTGACCGTCTACAAATAGACCGTGCGCCAGATTTCATTATCTTGATGGTAATGAAATTAATTTGTGTAGGTATTGGCGTAACTTTTCCCATGCTTTGTCCTGTTTCTTTTTTGCTATGCGGCAGTCGTTATTCCACCATGCTTTAACTTATTGGGAAGATTTGTTGACCTCATGTTTAGTGCAATGATTGATGTTTCTATCATACGCTTGGTGACATGCTTGGTTATGTAATCAATGTAGATATCAAGAAGAGATGTATAGGCTAGCAAAGATGCTTGCTTAAAAATTGTCCAGTTTGCTACCTGCGTCAAAGTTTCAACGGGAAGTTCGTGTTTGAAAAGTAGCAGTTCGACCAACGTATTTTAAAATTATGGAAAGAATATAATATTTATATGGGTTACGGTTGACCCCCCATGAGGAAAGAGGAAACGATGTTCGGTCGTATACGCCAGAGGTCGATGGACGGGAATTCGAGCGGGATGTAGCGCGAAAGTATGTAGCCTCTGGGTTGTTGAGTACGCATAAACCCGTAAAAGAAATAAATCGTTCAGTCAGTGATCCTCGAGTATCAGATCTTCCACTACCCTACATGAAAATATGAGCGTTAAAATCTCCAGGGATCAAAACAATTTGTGGGAGCTCGTGATAGAGACACTCAAGGAAACAAAACACGAACTGCAACAGCCTCCAGTGTAGTATTAAGGGGTAACCAATACCTGGAGTAGCGAAGTTTGGCAAGAATGGAGACGGTCTTCACAAAAAACATGAAAGTACCTTAAAACGCCAAAATGGTTATCGTTCAATTGGATTTTTGAAGCTAAAAGACTAGTGGGTGATGATGGGCTAACAAATAGCACTTAACATTTTAGTGATGTAGCAGTTCTCGACAGGAGCATTGCAGGAAGACTTCGTCCACCGTATGTAAAATAGTAGTAGTCAGAACCGTTCTAACTAAACTTTGAAGTCAATTTTAATCCGAGGTTCAATTTTCTTCTTGGTCTACATATAGAATCACGGGTGGCCGAGTGACGCTTGTCCTTCTCGGACTTGGGCCTTCACTCGTTCATTTGTTCATCTGGAGCCGCCGCTGGTGAACCCTTAAGGGTCCCTGCACTTAGCAGCTTACCAGGTAAACGGGGGTCACCAAAGGCACGATGGAGGCCACGGATTTTAAGTGTCTGGATTGCAGGGGCTGCACGAGGCGCAGTACCCTGTGCTTGGTTTTGAGTAGATCCCGACGGACCTGAATCCCCCTCTTGGTCTGAGGGCGGTGCTGCTGGCACCGCTTCTGTTCAGGTCGAGGGGAACAAAAAAAAGGAGGCACAGATCAAGGACGTCTGTGTTCCCCTTGAGTCAGTTGGCCGTGCAGGTCCCTAGCTGCGCAAGGCCTCAGCATAGGTGCCCAAGGACTGAAACAAGCAGCGTTTCTTGGCCTGTCAGTAGCTCAGTGGTTCTCAAATAGGGGTCCGCGGACCCTTCGGGGTCCGCGAAGGCATTCTAGGGGTCCGCGTTCATCTGTCAAGCCCGGCAATAAAAGTTTTTTTTACTGGTCGAAAAGAAATGTTTCAGTTTTTGGGCGAGTTTCCTCGTGTGCATGTCAATAAGAAAGATCTACTTTACACTAGCCCTTACTTAAATCCATTTATTCAATTATTATGCTATTTAACGTATACCTTCTCCCTCCCCTCACCCCGAACGGGGTCCTCCATCATCTCCGCCGATACACAAGGGGTCCGCGAAACATCACTGGCTGAGAACCACTGCAGTAGCTGATGCTTTCCTTCGTCTTAATGGTCAGGATATATTTCTTCTGCTTCCACAGATGGCATGCCCGTGAGTGTGCAGTATGGGGTCATATACAGGTAGGACAACAGACATGGGTGTTAACAACAGATCGGCTACGTGTCCCCTGTTCCTATATTTTCCGCAAGAATTTCTTTAGCGGAAGCTGCGTGAACCGTATTCAAACCGCAGGCCCCGAAAGCAGTTTTGGTGGTTTGGAATGTACCGCCGGACACGACCATCGATGTTGCCAGTCTTTCCAGATGCAGGTAGAGAATGACGCTCAACTATAACTATCAGGTGTTTGGTGGGAATCCCTGATCCATCTTTCCTGAACATGATCCTCTTCACAGAAACTACTGCAGGAGAACGGAGGCCCTCAAGGATCTCCTCTGTGCTGTTGCGCAGAATGTTGTCTCCGGAGACGACTCTGTAAATGGTGTTGAGCGTGTGGTGTCTAGACACCTTGACTTTTACATCAGCAATGTTCTTCATTTTGAGCAAAGCTATGTTCTTTTGTTTGTTTTTTTATGTACTTTTACGAGTAGGTTTCGATGGTATAGTTTATTTGCAGGATAATCGTCTCCGAGACTGGAGTCAAAAGATGCGTGCAATAGCAAAATGTGACATCTTAGAGACTGTTCGCTGTTTGTTCTGTGAAGGGAGCTCATAAACTTGGTGAACATGTCTGACTTTGAACCTTTAGCTACGAGAAGAAGTTCGGGGCGCAGGCGCTTGCTCAGACGCCACGAACCAGGTTTTGGTCTGGGAGGGGCGGCCATTAAAAGGCAAAAAGACGGCTGTCTCCCCGTCGCTGGAGCTGGTTGCCAGCGGGTCGCAGTTAAAATGACCAGCTTCAACATCTCCTGATAACAATCACTCTAATCTCTTCTGCGATCAGAGTTGAAGACTCCGACGAAGCGAGCCATGCCGTACACATGATCCTCCCGAAACGCGCAAGATAAACGAGGCTGTTTAAGCTCGAGACGCCAAGAGAGCCCAGTCTGTGAGTGCGTGAAAGGAGACGCCGCGCGGTGGGCAAGCGACGTCACTAACTTAACAACCATGGCGGCCTCTTCGAATGGGGCGGATACGAGGGTCTCGCCTATAGATCAATTTATCCACAAAACTATCACGCCATTCTTAAAACAAAGTTAGCAGGAATATAGGAACATACAATTGATGAAGACACTGAGTGCGCAGGCGAGCTGGTGGATGTTGATCATAATGTAGAAAACCCGAGACTGTGGTAAAAGCAAGGAAACGGAGTCGAAGAAGAAAGACAGGGGAAAAGAACGTCTCAACAGCAGGAATAGCGGAACATAGGAACATACGTATGATCTAACCTTTTTATACCGACCGGAAAGAGCGAGCGCAGTTCTACGGTGCGCACAGCTGGCACATCGTGCATCGCGTCCGCTCCTCGAGTTTTGTTTGGTAGATCCTTCCTGGACGTACGTTATGATTATGACGGACCGCAACGAGCTCATCGCTGTCCTCCGTCTGCTCCTCGGGGCCTCGCCGCGCCCAGGCGGCGAGGCCCGTCGGCACGCTCAGCTGGCACGCGAATTACGAAGCGTATAGATCGTTCTTCGTGGACTCGCGAACATCAGGCAGGTTCGATCATCAGACACTGGACAGCATTCAATGGACAACATAAAGAGCGCAATCAATCTCCTCTTCTCGCGACTACTTCGGTGAATACAAGGGAGTAATAATTGAAAGTGAGCGTGTTGTTGGATTGATATGAATACTTGAAATAATAAAACATTGAGGACGAAAGAACTCCTGTTTCTGTCCTCGGCCCCGATTTTTATTATTTCAAGTATTCATACTACAAGGGGTTTCTCGCCACCCAAGACCGCTAAGAATTCAGGCCCCGCACGCACCCACAAAAGAAGCAGACTCTGTGGGAAACTCCCATTAAAGCTTGCTCGTGAGACACTCCGCTGCCGAAGAAATTTAAACTCGTCCGGATTCATCCGATGAACCCGGAGGTCACAAAGTTCGTGTCGTGTTTGCAGCGCATTCGAAACCACGCAAAGCTCCCCCCGTAACCAAGCATGGGGTATCATCACTCACGCATGATGCACGCGCAATACAATCGGTGCCCCCCGGGTTCGTCGGAACGATCGAGACGAGTTCATTTTAAGTATATCTTCGTTGTTGCACGAAATGCGCTACTCGTCGGTGGCGGTCGTGACGTCACGCTGCTGCGGTGGCGCCGATGTCGGCGCAGCGCATGCGCATATAACGGCACCTAGCGGCTGAAACAGGAAGCTGCAGCGGCTGGTGGTCTAAAGACGAAGCCGTGAAAGGAGGCTCAAGGACTCGTGCTGAAAATTGCCGCTATGCTTTGTTAAAACTTCCCTAGAAAACATGGAAGAGGGAGAGGTTACCCGAAACAAGACTCGAGCGGAGCGAAGAAAATAGAGAGTGTTGGAATATGGACGTTTTTGGGTACCTTCAGCAGATTGGGGCATCGCACAGAGCGTGCGCAGAAAGTTTGCGCATGTGCAGTGCAATACCCCAAGCTGTTTGGGGAACCCAAAGCGTTGGAGCCCTCTATTCTAAAACTCTGTAATGAAGAGATAATGCTCATGAGGGACGCCAGCTTCGACCGCTTCGCTTGGCTACGATGCTCGTATTCTGCCCGTAAATATTTTACGTAAGGGTCTGCTGTCGACTTAAGCGCCGTTCACATATATGCGACCGAGTGCGACCGAGAGAGACCAGACCAGTTTTTAAACCTCTTATGACGTCTTACGACCAGCTCCGCTCCGTCGCATCCGGCCCTAAGACGTCGCTATAGGCTTAAAAACCGGTCTGGTCTCTCTCGGTCTTACTCGGTCGCAAGAATGTGAACGGGCCTTTAAACGACGAGTAGAAGCTCTTTCATCTGGTGAAACAGAAGAAAGAACCTTTGGTCGTTGTTCTGATCGCCTCCAGGGGCACGATACCTCAGGTATGCTGTCTTGTTCTCGTTTAGAGTCTGCTCAAGGTCAGCCCCGGAGTTGAAGTAGTCTCCGGACACAGGGTCCAGCTTGGCCCTTCCGAGACGCTCGATGTCGTCCAAGGTCACCACAATGTCATGCACCTCCGGTGAACTGGGTACTGCCATGTTAAGTTGCGTTCAGACTACTCTCGGTCAGATTGGCCTTTTCGGTTCAGGCTTGGCGGGGTAGGCCGTGGTTAGGTACGATTAAGCTAGATTAACAAAGCTTAGTTTCACCTAGATCAAAAGAGTCGAGGCAAGTGCCTGTGTTACGAAAGTACGAAAGGAAGCTTAAAACGCTATATTTTAAAAGATCGAAGAAGTGCTCCTTACTACGAGTGCTGTTTCTGCCCCTCTACAGTGGAGTTGCACGCATTCGGTCTGTGAGATATTTTTGTTAACAGCTGAAGCGCCCTGGTGGTCGGAAAGCAGCTGTATATTTTAGTGCTGCGTACTCAGCCACGTCAGAGACTTTGATTTTATTTATTTCATATTCGGCTTGGATCTCTCTAACATCCTTTTCGTTCCCGGACCACCTGCACAGTAGTGTTCCAAAGCATTTGAAAGTCAAATGTTTAAGGGAGCGTTTTTAATACACCTACTGTTGCGCGTGAAACAAAACACTGTAAACTACCTAAATTTCGCGGGGTCTTAATGTTCACGACTTCCGCCACTTGACTAATACCGCAAGAAAAAAATTTTTACGAGTATGTTTTTATACATACGTGGTGTATGACAATTGGCCCGCCCCGAGTGCAGAATTTCTGTCGCAAATTTCCCGTATCATCAGCCGAAATTCCCGTCATCACTGCACCGGTCTTTCATTCCTGTTTGGCACTTTGATCTTCATTGCTCGATGCCTTCATGCTTATCTCTTTGGGGCTTACTCTACAGTTGACGCGTGAAGTGAAGGGAATGATAACAAAGCTGACAATTGAATATTAAAAAAAGGTCTTGGGATAAAGACAAGAGACTCCTTGGCGAAATCTGCAGGTCGGGCATATGACATTAAACGCCACACTCGTCAGCAATGAGCTGTGTTTTAATCGGGGTACATCACATGCAGAGGGACAAAGGTGCGCTCTACGTAGACCATCGCTGCACAAGAAAAAAAAAAAAAAAGTCAGTTTTTAATTTTAGGAAGATGGAGCATATATTTGGTTTAACGTTTGCGTGTACATATTCGCCTTTGTAGATTTCAAAAGAGGCGATGCTACAAGTCAAGCATCTCTGTTGCAGCTGTATAATGCGGTCAGACACTAAAAAAAAAAAAAAAAAAAAAAGTTAACTGCCTCAAGTAATTTGTTTGTGGAACGGTACTCTTCAACCTGAACAAGTTTCTTTAGAAAGTTTTAATGCGTCTAACGCGTTGCAAATCAACCGACTATTACAGTGACGCTTCAGAGATATTCTAGACAAAAAACCTTGTGCTGTCTTCTTTCTGTAAGCTCACCGTTTTGCATATTTAGCTCTCATTTGCATATACGACTACTTTGAACCCACACCTGCTGTTATGAAAATATTTAAAACACAGCAACACCATTACTGGCAGTTTTCAATAGAACGAGATCAAGAACAGTCTCCATGCCCTGTCACACAATTCGCTAGGCACAACTGGCATATGTAAATATTTCTCTTCGTACGCCAGTTTTTGCTTTCCCGGTTATTTTTATAGCAGCATTATTCGCGTCTCCAGCTCGCTGCTCGCCCTCCCGCGGCGAAAACGGGAAGCGCTCTAGTGAGGGTCCTCCGATTCTCCTGTTCTTCGGGCACGGCGGAACTGCTCGCGATCATGGCTCCCGAAATGCCATTTCCGAATGCAAACAACACTCCTCACTGTTCCAATGTAGTGCTGAAGCCGATATGGAATTGTACCTTATTATAGAGTTTTAGCATTGCGTATAGAAGCAACTGCTGTGAGTTTGCGTTAGAGTTGCGTGCTCCACGTAGCGCACGCGCCTCATCGCCCTGCGCCAATTCAAGACAGCAATGTTTTGGCTCCATGCACGCTCAGTATCGAACACGGAAAGTTAACGGAAATCAGCAGCGCTTGCGTTCGCTCGTATACGCAATGTTAAAACGCGCTACTCTTTCACCAGCTTCCAACTCCAACAAAGCGTGCTGCAGTGAGCAGACGTGCCAGCGGGTAGGAGTTCCCTCGAACTGGAAAGGCTGAGATTAGCAAAACGACGGCGCATAAAAATGAAAGTAGCTAAATGTTATTAAAAAAAAATTTTTGTTTTTCTTTTTTTGTTTGGGGGGAGGGGGGGAGGGGGAGGGGGGCGGCGTTTGGTCTGGAAGGATTTTGGCGACGACTTTGTCACTTTTTCCGATTGTCAAAAGTCCCGACTTTGATAGCAAAATATGCTTTACCTATAATTAGTGTAATTTTACATGGTCTTCTCGCATTTGCGAGAATGTTTTGATTTATTTTAGACTATATTTATTTTATAACTTGGCAATTAAAAATGCTGCATTTGGCACAAGTGATGATGATTAACACTCTTTTGATTGTCCTACTTGTTCGCGCGTTTGAAATTAGATCATAAGAAACAAATCATATTAGTAACGTGTTGCTATAAAAAACACACAGCTGTCTGTGCTCGAATTCCGTATTTGGGTTGTTATAGTGACAACAGCGCCTATTCAAATTTGGGGGTTTTACGTATCATACCGACCGCGGCCATCTGGCACGCCCCAGAGGACTGGGGATTAATTTGGACCACCTGCGGATCTTTTGACGTGCAACTGAAAGCTCGGTTACATGGTCCCTTCTCCGCAATGAGCCTCCGTCAGAGCACCTCGGCCGGGATTCGAACCCGCCACATGGAGATCCGTAGGCCAGCGCTCTCGCCTCGGAGCCACCGAGGCGGCTCAACAGCGCCTATTAATTTATACGTTTTCTGCACATATTGTAAAAATTGGATTTATTCTGCTATTTTTATGCTAGAAATAATGCTAAAGCAATTAGGAATTTAAATACCCAAAACACATTAAAAGGCCCGCAGTTCATTAAGTCACATTACAATTATCTGAGCGAGAAAAGGTAGCGAGAACCCACAAATATCAGCACTGATTTTTTCATCAACTACAATATTCTATGTTACTTTTAAGGTATATGAAAGACCCCGTCTTTAAAGGGACACTGAAATCTCCAAAATATTGTGAAGTGCCTGAATCGAACATGTATGTCACAAAATGAAGTTTCCAACAACTTATTTAACTAAATAATTACGATATGAGACACACCTGGAGTTATGAAAGCATCCGAAATTAAGACCCACATCAAGAAATTGAATCCAAAATAGAGGTTAGTTTCGGTTTCGCTCCAGAATAAAAACATGCCTCCTGGAGTAAGTATTACACTAAACACCGTTTTAGTTTTCCGAATAAAATGGTGACCTGCGCTCATAACACCCTAGCTTCTTGGTATTGCCAAATATAATTTGTTTCGCTCTGTGAAGCCAGCACACTAGACAGGCTCAGCAGCGACACGCATCTCCGACCCTCACTATAACCGTCATTTTGGAAAACGAGTGGCGCCACCTATAGTTTGTTGGAGTCGCGAATAAGAAAGGCCTTTTACTTTAAATGTATCGTTTGACAGCTAGAAGTCCAAGTTCATACTATTATTTCCGGCAGTTCTCCCACTGAGCAAGAGCTTGTGCAACCGGGCAGCCCCCTTGTGCAAAGAGCTCGCGCGTGCAGCCTAGTAGTGGTATCGCCATTCCGGTTGATTTGCATGGCGAGAGAATGAGAAGTCAATTATTAGACAAAGCAGTACGTCTTTCATAAGATAATCAAAAAAGTGCGAAATATGTGAACACGTTATATCAGCAGAGCTCCTATTGATCGCAAAAAAGTTTCACGATCTGAAACTATTATTTATGGTGCATGCGGTTCTTGAGGCATGGGAACGGGGACTCGCAGACGTGGGATGCTTGCGGGCTGCTTCCCAAAGCGTCGCGGGCCGCATGCGGCTCGCGGGCCGCGTGCTTGAGACTCCTGATCTAGAGGGAAAGGACCATGTTTCGGGGCCGCTTGGGAATGGCGGGGCGTGGGCGTTGACGTCGGCGGTCCCATTTGGTGGTCCCGAGTGGTCCATACTGCAGGCGACGCCTTAATGTGCACAAGGAAACAGCAAAACGTCACTGATAAGGTCTGTAACTGCTTCTTTTCCAGCTTGCTTTGCAGGAAAACACCGGAATCGCGCACTGTATGAACCTCAATCAAGTTTCGACCAACTTCAAACTCGTCGCGGAAAACCGAACACGCCTGATCTTTCGCCTGCTTTCTTCTTCTGCCCTTCTGTATCTCTCTCTGTTTTGCTCTTTCTCTCGGGATCGGTGATGTCAGCGCCCAGGATATCCCGCACTTTGCTCCAGTTCCCCCCCCCCCCCCCCCCTGGCAAATGCACTACGCCGCTGACTTTATAAAAGCTCAGAGCCCGGAAGTGTTAGTGACAAGTGGAAGTGGAAATGTTAAACATTATTAAGCATCGCGCACAAATAAAAAGAACAGATGAGGGAAAAAAAAACAGAAGAGAAGCGCGTTCTCTTCTTACCTAGTCTCTTCTGTCTATTTGTGGGCGGTCTATCATCATGTTTAATGCATAGCAACTAGCCCACCTTACTACCTTACTACAAGAAATGTTAAAATCGTCCTTTTTTTACTTTTGGGGAGATATATTTGTTCTCGCATACCCTCGCCAAGGTCCGCAGCACGCCAGTTTTTTTTCTCTGCTGTACCTATTTAACAAGCGTTTGAAACTCTCTAAAGGTGACGCTGCTAAAAAAAGGAAATAGAAGTGTAAAATGACTTGCCGTCTGTATGCGGAAAAAGAACACGTTGCAAACGCACATCAGAACCGGCGCTTGGTTGGCCGGTTGCAGACGCAGGAGCTCGTGATTGCCGTAATCAATGGGAGGAGAAATTGAAACATTTCCGGTTTGAAGTTATCGAAAAAGGCAAGGAGCGTACCACTATGCGGCCTACGTCACAGACGTTGGCGGAAAACTCGAATTTGGATTTTGGAACAATGAACAACATTGTTTGCAACAATGAAAAATGATATACATATATAAATGCTGGGGTTAGTTAGTGAGGGCAATGAACCCATACGGGCA